GTAGCCTCTTCACTTTTGATATGAGACTAGCATGCAAAAATAACAAAATACGGATGTTTATTCATCTGCTATTCTCATCGTGTTCGAGACTTAAAGCTGTACAGGTCCATTGAAGCACTCCTCACAGAGAAATCTCATTATGGGTATTGTTTGTCTTGCAATTACCCCTTATCTCAGAATTCAAACCAGTGCCTCATTATTGATCAGATATCAACTCTGGTGTCTCATTAAGGGTTTGGAAGGAAGGGGGCTGAAAAATTGCATAAAAAAGGTCACATATATTGAGTAAAAACGGGATTTGAGGCTGATCTAGGCCCAGGGGTGCTGTCATCCTCCAATTTTAGAAACGTTAAGAATCTTGCAAAAATGGAAGTTCCGCTTTTCTGCCTCCTTTCCCCAGCCTCCCTCCAAACACTTTTGGACACACTTTTTTAGGGTGGGGGAGGTGGGGGGAGTACCTGGTTTTAATGGGTACCTACTCCCACTTCCACTCAGATCGCCTAGGCGATCTGAACGGAAATTCTCTTCCCCCTCCATCTGCCTGCAGCTTTCTGGGACACATCACAGGTCCCAGAAAGATGTGTGACCATTCATAAAGTGCAGCACGGCTTGCCCATACGCAGTAGGAATCGGCTGTGAAGCTGCTTGGACTTGCATCCGAATCCCATTAGTAAACATGCCAGCCCCGGGGACCCGAACACCAGTAAAGAACCGATTCGGGTGAGGGCGCCGCTGGATCCCTAGACAGGTAAGATTGCTAAAATATTTGTATAAAAGATGTTACCATTCAGTAAAGGTCTATAAAAATGGTAGTAATCTTAATAGGTTTCCTGAAAGTCATGTTTATATGTAAGAAGTGATTTAATATAACCAGATATTTGAAAAAAAAATGTTTATATATAATATATACACACTATATTGCCAAAAGTATTGGGACACCCCTCCAAATCAGTAAATTCTGGTGTTCCAATCACATCCATGGCCACAGGTGTATACAATCAAGCACCTAGGCATGCAGACTTCTACAAACATTTGTGAAAGAATGGGCTGCGTTCAGGAGCTCAGTGAATAGATGGTACCGCGATAGATTGCCACCTGTGCAGTAACAGGTGTGTACATTTTTGAAAAAACTACTTGTCCAGGGACATAATCGGGCCCAAATCTACTTGTGTCTCATGACAATCTACTTGTCCAGATAGAAAATTTTATTTTTTTACCAAAACCTTATTTAAATCGGAGGTGATTTTAGGAATGTCTGGGGCTTTTAAAAACAAAAGGTGCTTTATGGCAACTTAAACGTGTAATATTTTTAACATTGCGCTGTTTATCTCCTCCTCCCCTCCCTGCCTGTCTCCAGCACCGCATCCGGGTTCTAGCAGAGAGGAGAGAGACCTTGTAGTGTAATCAGCACCGATTGGCTGCTCGTCAGGAAAGGGTGGGACAGGGCTTATACTTTATCCCTCTCGCTGCCAGAGCCGTTTTTGCGGTTTCACTGCCAGAGTTGTTTTTGCACACATTTAAAAAATAAATAATTTTTAGCCCTGAAGATTACAAACATATATTTTCTGAAAGCAGAGACCCTAGAGAATAAAATAGTGGTAGTTCGAATTTTTTATGCTGCTTGATATTACGCAAAATTTCTGTAAAAAAATTTAATTTTAGGGCACAAAAAGCAATACATTGCTTTATTTTTTTGTAAAATATAAAAGACGAGGCTGCATCGAGTAAATAGATATCCAACTTGTTAAACTTTAAATTAGTGCACACTCGTGAAATGGCGACGAACTTCAGTACCCCATAATTTCTATAGGTCGACACTTTTAAAGCTCCACCAGTTTAGTGTTATGGAGGAGGTCTGGTGCTAGAATTATTGCTCTCATTCTGGCGTGCACAGCAATATGTAACATGTATCGCAATAGATGGTTTCATGCGACCCAGCGTGTGCTTTTACATGTATACGTGTGTATATGTGGGGGTGGGGGCCTCAATATTTTTTGGGGGGAATGGTATGTGCTTGGGTGTAACTTTCATTTTTTACAATAAAAAAAATAATACATTTTTTTTTCTGTTTTTTTTTTTTTTTTTTTCCTATCACATAGGGGACAAAGATGATTTTTGGTGGTGGCAAGTTCTCTTTGAGACATCCAAAGTCTAAAAGACCCTGCATGTCTCCCCTTTGCTCCACTTAATGTAATGTGGTGCACATCGCACCATATTACATTCTTTCCCAGGGATTGCATTACAATCTCTCAGTGTGGACCCTGAAGTGACATTGTAACGTCGGAGGCAGATAATACAACCATGAAATTCAAATGATAAAATACTTGAAGGAGGGAGAAGAGAAAAAAAATGGGGGGGGGGGTTAAGGAGTAAGGGGGACACTGCTGGGCACAAGGACTCCGAGGCTGGTGAATGAGGGGTAGTAATACCAACAATCAAAAAATCTTACCAGGTAGGTTTAAATATGGGTGCACTCTTTAGGTATGTTTAGGTACCATTCAGAATGATTGACTCCGCAGCGTTCTATTGCACATAATATGTGTTTCTGTGCATTACCCTAACATAACAGTGTCCAGAGACAGTCAGAGACACTCACCAGATTCTCACAACTCCACAGGCACCCAAACATCTTCACCTATTTCTTTATAAAACTAGAAAAGCTACAATTTCTGGGGAAATTGTGTGAAGTGTTCTTGCCTCCACCAGTAGTCTACAAGTGGAGTGGGCGGAGTAACTGGGTGGAGTGGCTTGAGTAACTGTTGTGTGGTTGGAGTGGCTGAAGTAACTGTGAAAAGGTTTTGTCAGCTCCCACTCTAGTTTTGAACATTCCGCCATTCATTCCTATGGGACCAATTTCACCACAAAAACGCCGATATTTCGTGAACCATTCAGCAAAACGTTCCACAAAGTAATAGCACACCAATCAGGAACAATCCGCACGGTTCGGTGTATTACTGTCTATGTAGTGTAAAATCTGTGGGAGGAGTTAGGGTGGTAAATTTGGCTATAATAATAAGAATATATATGTGAGATAACAGTAAGTGGTCTTGCTATGCAAGAACACTTAATTAAGCGAGAACAATTATGTCATCATTGGGGTGTAGTAGATTACTACTTTCCTGATGAGTATATTTGTATCAGTATCCATCCAAATATGAGATATTAGTGGTAGATTTACTGTTTAAAATTAGAACCATTATGTTGGGTGTGTTTTCTAAAAAAATCAGCCTGGCTTGGTTTGATCTGCTGCATATAATAAGGTTCACATAAACACCAAGGTGTGGATTCACTATAAAGACGTTTTACTAAGAAACATAGTATTTTAAAGGAGACCTGTCCTTAGAAAAAACTGAAGCTATCGTTGCTACAGAGCTGTTGTTTGTAAAAGGAAATTTCTGCAGAGTTCCCCCTTTTCTTGCCATATTTAGATGCAGATACAGGCTCCTTTCTCTCCTTTATCCCAATCCCCTGGGCTCCTGGAACATGCCCTGAGAATGTTCCCATTTCTTCTGCTCTCCGGAGATTATAGGGATGGCATCTGATGAGGCAGAAGTATCTGTGCATGTGATCTGAAGCTAGATGTACTATCCCCCACAGTTAGCCCTGGCTTGCAGGCAGATGAGCCCAATAAATTTCCAAGAAGACTCGGCCACTGCAGAGAACACTATGGCAATTGCTACCAGTGTATTGCACTTCAGGTGGGGTGGCCCTGCATCTCCAGCCGCCCATCTGTGGTACCAGCCTTTGGACTTCTCCAGACATTCACCTGTGGTGCCAGCTCAGAGATCACTCCAGCTGCTTGCCAGGGTACCCAGACCTTCTCTGGACTTTACTGTGAGAGGTGTTGTTGCAGAGGCTAAGTGCAAGTAGCTGTTTATGTACTTTACCATTTACTCAAGTAGTGTTCATTTCTCTACACTCTATAGCTACAGAGCCTTTTGGAGACTGTGCTGTACTGTCACCTACTGTCTTTATTTAGTTGGAAAGACATTATTCTTGTGAGCTCCTGTTTGTACATCTTCATAATCGGTTTTACATTGTACTGTATGGCACTCTTTTGCCATTTGACCTTGCTTGTTTTGTTGATCCTACTTTGTACCTGTTAAAGTGTTACTAAACCCACAACAGTAAAATCGGTCTGTATATGCAGTAAAGCACGCTTGTTATACTCACGGTGGAACCTAAGGGGTTAATCCTCTGCATTGTGTAAAAATGCTGTTTGATACTGACTTCTATGATCCTCCCCTTCTTCTAGTGTGTCCCTCTTATCTCCTGATAAGACATATCTTGTGGAGTCACTCTGCACATGATCAGTTTGGTGTGTATTGCTAGAGAGAGATTTTTTTTTTCTTGGGAGAGTACTTGTGAGCTGCACAGGGCCAATGAGCACTGTCCACACAGAGATCAGGGGTTCTGCATCCTCCTAGAGCAGAAGGAAAACTCCTTCAAGCTGTAACCAGTGCTCTGCTGGACACTGATAGATGTCACAAGACTGCTCTAACTGCTGATGGGAAAAGGTATTTAGCAGTTTATATTTACTAAAATAATTGCATTTCCATGTTCTGTGTACTGTGGGAGACCAGGTATAGTGAATGTACGGTCCTGGGCTTAGTAACACTTTTTAAGTTCAAGTTAAATGTATCCTCTTTGTAGTAATTTGGCTGATTCCTATTATCTGTTTCACTTGCCACACTCTTTTGTTGATCCAAAGGCTTCAGTAATATAGATCACTACCCATAGTAAGGATGCAGAGCAGGAACCTTTCCTCTGACTACACCAGCTGCATTCCAAATCAGGCCTGTTTCTCGAAAAGTATTGAAGCCAGAAACACATAGGGAACTAAGACTTTCAGAAGGCAATTTATTTTATGTTTTATTTTTTAATACCTTCTTCATTTCTGTTTTCTCAGGATGCCTCCAAGCCCCCATATTCCTATGCACAGCTCATCGTTCAGGCAATCTCCTATGCTCAAGATCGACAGCTCACACTGAGTGGCATTTATGCTCATATTACCAAACATTATCCATACTACAGATCTGCTGATAAAGGTTGGCAGGTAAGTGCAGCCAATACAGAATATTTTGTCATACCACAGAAGATGATGACACTATATATTGATCTAGGATTGTGTTGTTACAAGGACACATGTATACGTTACTTGTAAGATAAATGGGGCTTTATAGAAGCGATTGATACCTTTCATCTGCTATTAGGACTTTGTTCTGAGCAGTTTTTTACCTGGCTGCCTAGGTGACATCATGTAGTTACATAAATCATCTGACCATAAAGATTGCCACAGCCAGAGGTGATTTCTCTGCAAAATAAAGCGTGGAGACATGGATGGATGGAAAAGTTTGTTTTGAATAATTAAAATGAATAAACCCTTTTTCTGCCAGGCCCTGCTCTCCATTTCTAAACTCAGGTGGCCAGGCCATTTTTGCAATTTTTTTTTTTGTTTTATTTTTCTCTTGCAGCTTTCAGAGTTTGTGTAAGACCCCCCCCCCCCCCCTCCTTCCCCCAAACCATATATTTTCTGAAAGCATAAGACCAGTAGAATAAAAGGAAGGTGCTCCAGATTTTTTTAGGCCCTGTGATATTTGCGCAAATGTTTCTCAAAACAATATTTACGTTAAAAATAGACTAAATTAATTATTAGTGGATACATACATGACAAAATTTACTCAATTCCTGCTTAATATAAAAGTTGGAAATGTATTGAGTTAATAAATAAATATTTGCAAATTTTAAATTGCGATTTTTTGTGAAATAGCGAAAACGGAAGTAACGCAAAACTGTAAATAGAAACAATTTACTCTCAAAATCTGAGGTTATCATTTTTCACTAGTGGCATGATCACATATATAAATCCAATAAATAATATAATGTGCAGTAGTATAAAACCACTCAAGGTGGCTAAGGTGATAGATAAGTGAAAGTCCAAATAATGAACGTGGGGATCCACAAGAAGATCTCAGCATAGGTGTTCCAATCTCCTAATCCAAAGTGATGGATGTTGTAAATGGTTAGACTCAATGATACTTCCAGATATGAGGGAACCTCATATCTGGAAGTATCATTGAGTCTAACCATTCGCAGAGCCAATCTAAGGAGAAACCTGATGTGCTGATACCAATTGGAGGATTCTAAAGGGAACAGGAACCAGGCTGTACACACTATTGGATGATCTGGCTGACCTGATGAGACAGTTGTAATCTCAAATGTGTGATATTGCACATCTGGTGAGTGCGCAATTTACTTACCAGTCACACCATCCATCACTTTGGATTAGGAGATTGAAACACCTATGCTGAGATCTTCTTGTGAATCCCGAGGGTCATTATTTGGACTTTCACTTATCTATCACCTTAGCCACCTTGAGTGGTTTTATACTACTGCACATTATATTACTTATTGGATTTATACTACTGCACTTTATATTATTTATTGGATTTATATATGTGATCATACCATTAGCACCTATATCACTTTATAGTTCATGTTTTGTTATTAGCACCATTGGCATATTATTATCTGTAATTGATTTTGAATGATCCATCATTCTCCATTTGCATTAGCACTTTATGCACATGTTTATTATTAGCGCTGCACCTATTTATTTCTATTTTTTACCTAGGAGGTTTTTTGGTTACCTTTTCGGTGTCTCAGCAGCTTTGCTTGTAGCTCTAGCTTAGTCCCTTTTTGTATATCATTTTTCACTAACAACTTTAATTGTTTGTAAAAGATCCCCCAAACCATATATTTTCTGAAAGCAGATGACCTGTAAAATAAAAAGTGTGCTACTGATTTTTTAGGACTCGCAGTAATTGTGCAAATGTTCATCGAATTGCCATTTTCTGTTTAAATGTTTTTTTTTTGAAAATTAACATGCAAATAGGTAATGATACAGCTAAAGGCCAATTTGCTATTTTCACTTAAAATACACTAAAATCATTAATTGTGGATACATACTTGGCAAAATTTACAAAATGCATGCTACGTTCCAAATAAAAATAAAGCTAAAACTGTACTGGGTTAATAAAAAACAAATAATTGTAAATTTTAAATTGCGCCTTTGTGTGAAATGATGAAAACAATTTTGTCTCAAAATCTGGAGGTTACCATTTTTCACTTACAGCTTTCAGAATTTGAAAAGAACCAAACCATACATTTTCTGAAAGCACATGACCTGTAGAATAAAAAAAAAGTGCTAGTGATTTTTTAGGCCCTGCAGTAGTTATGCAAATGTTCATAAAATAGGTTTTTCACTAAAAATACACTAAGATAATTTTTAGTGCACACAAACACAACATAACTTTTTAATCCCTGCTATATTACTACTAAGGCCTTGTTTGCATGGACGAACTAAAATGTATATTGTAGGAAGGCCATGTTTACCCACATGGGGATGCCCAGGTGTTCCATGCATCCCCATGCAGGCTGTCCCATTCATGTCAAATGGGATATATAGCCGCTGCTCCCAATCTGACATCTGTGCGGGTTTGGGTGCACGACCCCGAACGCAAACAGGAGCTCAGGGACATGCATCCGGACCTACATGAATATCAATTTAGGAGCAACGGTTGTGTTCATGCAGTTGCTACATCCCAAATTACATCAATGGCATGCCTGCACAGGGATGCACGGAACAACTGTGCATCCCTCTGCAGGTAAACATGGCCTTGCAGGGGAATACGTTGAGCATTCTGTCTGTGAACAAGACCTTACTATTAGGGATGCACCGATACCTTTATTGGTAGCAGTGCCTGTACCGAGTATTTTTTATGAGTACTTGAAACCAATTCTTTGTGGTGTGATTTGCCACCATACAGAAAGACTGGGTGCAAAGAATGGCATTTGATTTGAACAGAAATGTGGTGTGATTCCTGTCTGGATTGCTTGCGGTTTCCTGTACCACACTGAACCCATGCTGATATCACTATGACAAGCCTGAATTCACACAGGAGCGGTGGGGAAACCACATGCAATTTGGACAGAATTTCACTGCATTCCTGTTTAAATTGTATGCTATTGTTTGCAGTGCGATTTGCGCCCATTCATTTTGTATGGATGCACCCCTACTCGCTATGTTTTTTAACCGCTTCCTGACTGCCCTATAGCAGAAGTGCTGCTACAGGAAGGCAGGCATGCTCAAAAGCACGTGTATATATACGTGATTTTGTTTATCTGGGTAGGGGATGCGTGCGTTCTCCCTACCCGCGCCGCTGTTGGCTCCTCGGCATGCCAATCACCAGGACTATTGGCTCTTCAGTATGTCATTCACTGCGACTTGGTGATCGTTGGCGGAGCTGATAGAGGAGAGGTCTGTGTGTAAACAACACAGATTTCTCCACTGTCAGCATGAACAGACTTCTTTGTATTGTTCTGCACAGCAAAGCAGCTTGTCTCCCTAGTAAATCACACACCGCACACTATGTAAAACACAGCACTGCACACTGTTAACCCTTTGATCGCCCCAGATGTTGCCCCCTTCCTGCCCAGTGTCATTAGTACAGTGTCATTGCTTTTTATTAGCACTGATCACTGTATTAGTGTCACTGGGGATGTCAGTGGCAGTTAGTTCCCCCCCAGTGTCAGAATGCCCGCCGCAGTCGCTGATTACCACCATTACTAGTACAAAAAAAAAAAAAAAAAGTACAAATTCCAGTATATATACCTCCATTTGTAGACGCTATAACTTTCACTAAACCAATAAATTTACACGTATTGGGATTTTTTTTTTAGCAGATATGTAGCAGAATACATTTTGGTCTAAATTTATGAAGAAATTGTATTTTTAAAAAATATTTTACTGGATATGTTTTATAGCAAAAAGTAAAAAATATTGTTTTTTTTGTTTTTGTTTTTTTTTTCAAAATTGTTGGTCTTCTTTTGTGTATAGCGCAAAAAATAAAAAATGCACAGGTGATCAAATACCACCAAAAGAAAGCTCTATTTGTGAACACAAACTTAATTCATGTGCAATGTTGCATGACCACGCAATTGTCAGTTAAAATAATGCAGTGCCGTATCGCAAAAAATGGCCTGGTCAGGAAGGGGGGGGGGGGTAAATTCTCTGGAGGGCAAATGGTTAAATTATTTATTTAATTCTTTATTTTACAATTTTATTTTTAAATATTTTGTTTTTTTTGGGGGTGGGGGGAAGGGGGCTTTGGCGAGTTATCAGGGTCAAAAAAGACCCCTTTTCATTTATAAACAGATATAGTAAACACAGTTTACTATGCTCAGTTCTCAATGGATATAGGAGTGATCAGTAGTGATTGCAGACTGTAGCCACTGAAGGAAAGAAAGGGGGCTGGTAAAAGCATGTTTACCAAGCCCTGTTCTCCATCCTGACAGCTTGGAGCCGGAGCCGGAGCAGCAGCTGTAGGCGGCAGGAGGGAGAGGCGGAAACCGCGCATGCGGCGTTTGCGGAGCGTTAAAAAATGCTCCGCAAATGCTGGACCAACGCTTGCCAAACGCTATATGGGCATTTGGCAAGCGTTGGTAAAACAGTCAAGTGTGAATGAGCCCCAAGTGTAAGTGGAATTTAGGAAGGGAAGCACAGTATTTAGTGACTTTTAAGAAAGGCTGTTCAGCAAACAGATGAGATGTCAAAACACAGAAAAAATAGGAATGTCGCATGAAATGGGAGAGATTGTAGGGAGAATGTTTGTGAATTTCTTACGAAAAATTCCATATCATAAGAGACATATGGGGCTTGTGTTGATCTTTTTCTGAAAATGTTAATTACCTGGCTGTTCATGGCTCTGATAATTTTCAATAGCAGATCTGGGCAATAAGGCTGCTGTAAACAAGTGTCAGAAAAGTGTTGCAATTCATTATTTCTATACTTTCTCCAGGTTAAGGACTCCACCATCAACATGACAAGACAGGGAGCTAATATTATCAAGAGAGGGGTACTTTAAAGTGCATGTACAATCTATTACACACATTTTTTGAATTACTAAGTTTTGTACCCTGAGGTTTTGGCATCAGTTCAACCTCCAGCCATATTAATCGAAGAATTAACATTTATGAAGACTTCCTGACACCAAGGATAGAATTATGTAACTAGTATAGAGTGAATAAATCACTACTAATCCACTCTAAAATATAAACCAAACCACTGTGTAAAAGTATTAAATGCTAAAAACCAAACAAACAAAAGGACTGCCACTGTTACAAAGGTTCTAGAACCCTAATCAATGGTATCCGGACTCACAGCGCTGCCCTGTATATTCCACCTCTAATATCACTCAAAAATCTTTATAAATACAAATGGCAAAATTCAAAAAAGTGCTAAGTTTCTAAAAATGTGCTTGGTATCCAAATAATCCAGTCTTTGCAATACAATATTCTTGCTTGAATAAATTTTGTGCAGTCCTGCAGCCACTGGTACTGATGTGCCAATCACTCCACTGCTTCACATGCATCAATCTTGGTGCCGTGCCCCCCTCAAGTGTTCCCACATCCACCAGAGCGTGTGGACTCTGGGTATGATCTCCTTTATTTCTCTCTGTCTCCCATAGTGTAATCAACATTTATTATAAAACACACAAATTACTTAAAAGATGAAAACAGTTGAGAATGCCGAACAAGGAAGCTTGCTGTGGCGTGCGCTCCTCAGGCCGGCTGAGACGTCACTGGTTAAACCATATTTTGTTCTTTATTGCCTCAGCACAACCTTATTCACTTACATTATCATCTTAGTTACTTCCAAATCACTGTGCTGAAAAGGGACATGCTGATAGGGGTTTATAGCAGAATGGCAGAAAAATGGGCTCATGAGTATATTGCTTCTCCATTTACTGCACAGTCACAGGTTTGAAAAAAGGTGCAAGACTGTAAAATATCAGTTCCCTTACTATCATTATAGTTTAATTGCTTCTGTAATTTGAGTCACTGACCTGAAACATGAATGCAGTCAAGAAACTCTGACTTAACTCTGACTTTTTTTATATGCGTGCTTATTTGGGGTCAGCATCTCAGAAACTATTGATGGCATAAACAACCAGGCTAGAATTTTATGAGGTTAGCAATGGTTATTATGGTATTCTTTGCAATATAGATTTCTTTTATTAAAGTTATTTGCAGTGCTCTGTCAATTGTTTGCTTGAGGACCTTCAACCATGCCTGCACAATTGATTGTCCTTAAAGGTCTACAGACTGGCCTATCTGTGCTGAGATGCTCATTAGTACTGTCTAACCTACTCCAGGTACCTACTTGAATGTTAGGATGGAAGTTGGCTCAATACAAGACAGCCAGTCCTGTCTGAAAAATAGTTACTAAAATAAATGTTATTATTTCAGTATATAATTTTGGGTAAATTTTAACAATTGTTTGTTCTTACTTTGCTAATTTTGCATCATATCTGATTATTAGGCATAATCATTTAAATCAGTAAGCATTGAACTGTATATTTCTGCTAGTTGTAAAAAAGGGGCTTTAGAGAATTATTTTCAACATTCCTGTATGATTAAAGCAGAAATGTTGAGGTTTTTTTTTTTTTTTTTTTTCTCTTCCAGAATTCAATACGGCACAACCTGTCACTAAATCGATACTTTATCAAAGTACCACGTTCTCAAGAGGAACCTGGAAAAGGTTCATTCTGGAGAATTGACCCAACATCTGAAGCCAAACTTATTGAACAGGCATTTAGAAAACGCAGGCAGAGGGGTGTTTCTTCCTTTCCTACTCCATTTGGTCCACTCTCTTCAAGGTGAGTTAAAATCCTTTTTTTTTCTTTTAATTATTATTAATGTGAATACTTTATTAAAATTGTTCAATAGGATGTGAATATTGCATTCATTTATGAATCCCTGCTATGAAAATTATTTTTATTGTTCATCATGGGAAACAGGATCAGTATTCGTTCTGAAACAAGTACATTATGCTGCTGGCTACAAGAAATTGGGTACTACCAACCAAAGCTGTTAGTCAGATATCACCTCTAGTAATAATAACTCCATAATGTGCTCAACCTATTATAACCACTTAATGCGTTCTCCATACATCCTCATTTTTAGTGCAAAACATATAAAAAATTAAAGTACTCATAAAAACCCCAAATTATTATCATGCTCTAAATTAATTCATATAGTCCAACTCGGTTAGTATGCCATGAACTACCTCCAGTGCTTGTGAATTCTGAGTGACGCTCTACTCCACACTTCCCCTCAGGCACTCACCATATTTTTTGATCCAGTAAATGAATAAGTAGGTCTTATTGCACCTTTAAAGTGGTTCTAAAGGCAGAGGGTTTTTTTTTACCTTGATGGATTCTATGCATTGAGGCAGCCTTTCTCAACCAGGGTGCCTTGAGGTTTCTTCAGGGATGCCTTAGCAAAATGTCTAAAAATTGCCCAAAACTTGCATACAAGCCTGTCTTTTAGTTACACAAAGCCACAGGCTTTCATTGTGCACCCATTATGACCTTCTAGCTGCCGGCATCCTAACAACCAATGAGATCATTAGTTGATAAGAAGGATGTCAGCTGCCTGCACAACATCCTAGTTTGACCCTCCCTTGCCCCTCTCCATCAGTGCTGGGGTCACATTAGCTCAGTGATGGAGAAAAACTGAGGGAGAAGAGAAACACTGGAATACTAGTCCGTTCCAGTGTTCAAAGGTGTATTTGCTTTGGAAGAATAAATCACCTCTAATGTTGGGTGTGCTACATGTGTGGATGTTGCTGCATTATATAAAACTTTTCACATTTAGAATGGCATGCCCTTTTAAAATTATGGATGCCTCAAGATTGTCCATAATTTTAAAGGGTGCCTCGGGACTGTCCATAATTTTAAAGGGTGCCTTGACTGAAAAAAGGTTGGGAAACACTACATTAAGATAAAAACCTTCTGGGTACAGCTCCCTCCTCAGTCCCCCCTTCCTTATACTTACCTATGCCCCATCTTGATCCAGCGATGTGCATGGGTCTCTCTTTGCTCATTGGCTCACACAGCAGCAGGAGCCATTGGATCCTGCTGCTCTCAGTCACACCCAGTAAGCCAACGAGGAGAGAGTATAGGATGGGCAGGGCCGAGCAACGCTCTCTGTGTGAATGGAAAATGTCCATTAACAGGAGCACAGCTTGGAAGCAAGCCTGCTCAAGTGCCCCCATAGCAAGAGGCTTTCTGTTGGGGGCACTCGGCAGAGGGGAAGAGCCAGGACGGCCAGCAGGGGACCCATAGAGAAGAGGATTGGGGCTGCTTTGTGAAAAACCATTGCACAAAGCAGGTAAGAGTAACATGTTTGTTATATATGTGTAAAAGTGTTGTGCTTGCTCAAAAAACACAAATTAAAAACACAAAGTCCAAATAACACCTATGTTCATATAAACGTGAAAGTCCAAATGAATACAGAAGAAACAACTCTTCAGGAATTCTTGTTGGGAAGGACCATGTATCTACTGGAAAGTAAACCCACAATCCCAGTGCTGTAAATCTTTAAAGGAATACACCGCCATGGTGAGTATATGGTAGAAATGGACCCTCACCTTCATATGTGGACCTGTATGAGAAACAGGTCAATAGGGCATCTCCCCTCTTAATGGGGGAAATTAAGTGATCTCTTCCATGCACAAAATCTTCCCTTTGTATATGGTCACTGTGTCCTCCAACAAGCCCTCTAAGCGGTCAGGTCTGTTCTGCAAATGGAACTCAACAACCATATAAAGCACGTCCGTTAAAAACACATAGAAGTTCATTTAACCATTTGCCGCCCGCCCTATGGCCAAATGGCGGCCGGCAAATGTCATCAGCGTTCCGGGTGGATGCCATATGGCGTCCTCCCGCACATGCGCAGATCGCGCTCCTGCAGAGCCGCGCAGTGGCGCAATCTGTCACCGGCCGTGTACCTCGGACACGGCCAATGACAGATCTGAGTATCGGCCTCCGTTGCCAGTACCATGTGACCTGCTGTGACCAATCACAGCAGGTCACAGGACAGTTGTATACAATGGATGGCTTCATTCATGCCATCCATTGTATACTAGTGTCTAGCTGTGAATGGTCACAGCTAATCACATGCACATGTCACATGATTAGCTGTGGCCAAATCACAGCTAAGCACAAAAAAAAAAAAAACCCCTGAATGAATCGATGTCATTCAGGTAAATGCTTGCTTATAGCAAAGTAATTCTTTGCTATAAGCAAATTGTGTAAAAAAAAAAAAAAAAAAAAAAAAAAATACTGATCACTTCCCCAAAGTAGTACAATGTTACTATGGTAACATTGTACTACTTTGGTCATAGTGAAATATGAAAAAAAATCTTTAAAAAAATTAATTTAAAAAAAAAAATTTATATTTTTTTTTCATACTGTCACCAGTCAGTGTCCCTGATCACCTCCATGCCAGTTATATGATGACACTGTACTGCACTGGTGACAATATGTAAAAAAAAAAATAGTGAAACAAATGTTTTAAATTTTTTCATTTTCCGAAAAATTATGACAAAAAAAATACAACTTCAAAAAACTCGCCATGCCTCTTATGAAGTACGTCGGACTGTCTACTTTGCAAAAAGGGGTCATTTGGGGGATATCTGTACTGTTCTGACATTCTTGGACTTCAAGAAATTAGATTGGCTGTCAGTACTTCAGGGCTGATCAATATTCAGATCTATACCATAGTTTGTGAACTCTATAACTTTCCCCCAAACTAAAAAATATATCCTAATATGGGTTATTTTCACCAAAGACATGTAGTAGAATACATCTTGGCCTAAATTTATGAAGAACAATTATTTATTTGCAAACATTTATAACAGAAACAAGAAAAACGTGTGTTTTTTTTAAACAATTCTGTCTTTTTTTGTTAATTTAGCAAAAAAAATTAAAACCCCAGCGGCGATTAAATACCACCAAAAGAAAGCTATAGTTGTGTGAAGAAAATGATAAAATTTTAGTTTGGGTACAATGTTGTATGACCATGCAATTGTCATTCAAAGTGTGAGAGCACTGAAACCTGTCAGCATTCCGGCTCTGACTTCACCCAAGCTCCTCCCCAAGCGTGTCATCACGCATCACGTGACTTCATCAGGGGTAGCTAAGTGACATGTACAAGTGATATAAATAGCCCGCAGTTTCCTGTGATAATCTCCCATCATGACAGCTAGGTAATAATCTGACCAGATGCCATCTACTGGCCAAAAATAGGAACATCCTACATATTGTAATAGCTAAAAAATCAGTATAGGTACATAAAAGGACTAACATGAAATAAAAATATTTAAAAACATAAAAGTCTATAAAAAAATGCAGAGAGACCTCTAAAAAATGGCAGCAGAGGGGAAGGAGAGGAAGAAAAAAGGAGAGGGGAGACATAATTGCTGGGGGCAGAATATAAAATTATTAATAAATTAAAAAGAGAGAGAAAATGAACAAACAGGAAAAAGTCTAAAAAAGTCAAAAATGGATGGAAAAAAGGGGGGCCCCCACCAGGGACCTTAATAATTACTAATAAAGCAATTGGTATCAAAGTCGACATTCAATCCATTTGGTGCAAAGGTCTGGAGTTCAAAAATCCAGCGGGATTCTTTTTGACTGAGGACCTTAATTTTATGGCTCCCTCGCCAATTTCTGTTATAAGCCTCAACCCCCCAGAATTGTAGCCCTGTGGGGTCTTTATTGTGATGTCTAAGGCAATGTTTGGACAGATGATGTTTGGTGGATCCTTTACTAATATTCCGGATGTGTTCCTGTATTCTAATTTTTAATGGTCTCTTAGTTCTCCCTATGTATTGTTTCTGGCATGGGCATTGGAGTACATGTACAACCCCTTCCGTGTTACAAGAGATGAATTCCTTTATGGAATATTTTTTTTTTTTTTTTTTTCCTTGTCGATATAGCCATACATTTGTCCCTTTTGAGCTGTCTTCTATTGGTTGTAGTGCATGCATAGCATTTTTTGCAAGGAAAAAAATCCTTACCATTAAAAAAAGGTCCATCCTCTTTTGGCCAGTGGGTCCAGTACCCCTTTTTAACCAATCTATCTTTGATGGTGGGTGCTCGCCTATATATAAATTGTGGCTTCTCTGGTAACACCTCCCCCAGATGTTTGTTAGCTTTTCAGGATGGGCCAATGTTTTTTTTTAAAAAGAATTTCTACCTTCCTATGTTGGACATTGTAATCTAAAATGATGGTCAAGGTTTTCCCTTGTGAATCCATTTTCTTTTTGTCTCTAAGTAGTGTCTCTATTTAATTATCCCACTTCCTTAATTTTTTCTTTTATAAATGGTTTCTTACAGCCTTTGTCAATGAACCTATCTCCCATTTGTTGCACCTGTAATGTGTAACATTCCTTGGTGGTGCAATTTCGCCACCATTGTAATAAACTGCCGTTTGGGTACATTGATTAGCCAGGAATCAAAGTGACAGCTATCCCCTGTAGGGATATAACTATTTCTGTCCACCTCCTTAAAATGGGTTTTAGTCTCCAATTTGTTAGTAGTAACATTAAGTTCCAAATCTAAAACGCAAATATTTTTCCCATCTACTTCCCAGGACAGTCCGATGTTCTTACTATTAAGGTTGCAGAGGAAATTATTCAATTTT